TGATTTGTCATTAAAATCAACTGATGAAATCTTGCTGGCATATTTTTAGGCTCTATATTGATTTGTTATAAAAATCGAATTGTTTTTGTTGCAACACTTTTTGTACATTTAAAAAACAATACAAAAAACGGCAATGCATTCAATTGTGAGTAACAGCTATTGTCAACTTCATTAGCACAAATTAACCCAGTGGCAAAGTTTCAGCAGCAGCAAGGAGTCAACAAAGGCCGCCAAAGTGCCAAAACATCGAACCCCAAACCGGAGCAAAATGCCAAAGCAAAACCGAAACCGAACCCAAGTGAAAACCAACCCATTGGGGAGCTCATGTAGAGATAAGTGTGTGTGCTTATGTGTGTGTGTGTGTGTGTGTGTGTGTGTGTATGGAGTATGTGAGTGGAGATAGAGGTGAAGATGGTGATGGAAGAGGGTACCAAAGTTATGCCCGTCAATCTTCGCGACGAGGCGACAGTTTGATAAACTGAGACAGCGCCGCTGACGATGGATCCCTTAGATACTCAGATACTCAGATACTAATCAGCGTTCGTTGAGCGCTTAACAGGAAGTCATAAATTTTGCCAGGACATGCCAGCGACTGTGTGTGCGTGTGTGTGTGTGCGTGTGTGTGTATTGCTAGATGTTTGTGTGCGTCGCGCCCTTGTCTAGAAATTTTAATTAAAAGCGATGACATAGCGAGTAATTCGATATCAGAATGTCGCCTATTAATTTTAAGGACATTTCCTTTATTGATTCTTTGTCAATATTATATTGAGCCCATAATTTACACATAAAAGGGCTGACAAAATACACATCTAAGTGATGTTTGTGTGTGCGTATCTGTGTGTGCGTGTGTGTGTGTGTGTGTGTGTGTGTGTGTGTGTTTTGCGGTTTGTCCATTGTCCTTAACTTTCCGATTTGACTTTGGCTTTCGGTCGCCTTTGTTTGACTCGGCTTTAGTGTGCGTGTGTTGCATCCATTTCAAGTAAGACTGAATACAGAATCAGGAGCGGATTTGGATCGTCGCCAGTGCTTGAGAACAATATGCATACATTATATAATTATTCTATTTTTGTATCTATTATATTTAACTTATACAACCAACTTTTTGTCAAACGAAATTTCACTTTATATTAATTACTGAGGACCCAACAAATTTTGTGACGGCATTAAAACCAATTCCCTTGAATACGAATCAATATTTAAATTTAATAAATTACTCGCAATTTAAAAAATGATCAAGAAATGCTCTAAAATATTTATAATTGATCCAACTTGTCTTGGAATTTGTATTTTTATTTATACCACAATATATATGTGCCCTGCTTGGGCCCGAAATCGGGCTAAAGTTCGCACCTGGCGTAGAATTAGTTACTAGGGCGTGTTATCTTTTGATGCGCAACGCCATTATAAGCACCCACACCCACACACCCACACACCCACACACACACACACACTCGATACAAATGCAATGTGCTTGTGTGTGTGTGTGTGTGTGTGTGTGTGTGTGTGTGTGTTCGTGTGCGTGACTTTTGTTCTTGTTGTCTTTTCATAGCCACTTTCCATTTACATTGAGACTCTTGATTCCTCATTATTTTGATTTTGATTTAACGTTCGTTATTACTGCAACAACAACCACAACAACAACAGCAGCAACCACAACAACAACCACAACAACAACAACAACAACAAGACTAACAATAGCAATAACAGGAACGACAACAACAAATCTGACTTAATTTAGTCATCGCTGCGCGCTTGTCAACGATAAACCCTTACAATCTTTAAGGGGTGTGCACACAGGGAGGGGTGGCAGGTGTCATTGGGTTGGCATTTTCAATATGCAGAAACCATAAACCTTTGTTTATTGACCTCATTTCAGGTGAGTTATTTAATTACATTTGAGTTTTGAATGAAAGTCCCAAACTGATTTTGAAAATGTGTTTGCAATACGCAAACAAAACTTAATGCGAAATACAAATAAATTGTATTTCTTATATGATCTCAATGAAAACCTCACAGTTGAAAGTATTCTATATATTTATAAATATATACATATAATCTTGACTTACATTGGTATACGAGATTATATATTTCACAATTCTGCAGCTCTTATAATTTCTGTGATGGACTTTTCATACAGACAGACAACTTTTGATGCTGATCAAAAATATATATGCTTGCTTCTGCCTGTTGTACACTTTTGCACAACTTCAACTTGTACCCTTTTTCCCGGGATATATATATTTTAATTTATATTAAGTAAGTCAAACGTAAGCACAAAAATATGTTGAGAATTTATAATCGATTGGAGTCTAATTTGAAGTTTGGGTTCATTTACAATGTACAACAGCGTTGCGCAAATTAAGATACAAGTCTAAATCAGCCCGATAACAGTTCAAGAGTTCAATTCGCAACAACAAAAAAAGGGAGAAAGATACCCTCTCAATGAATAGCATTTGAATAGATAATGAAACTTCGGCAAATCTCTTCATAAAACATCCAACAAAGTGGCGACACTCAGTCCGGCCATCGAAGCGGAGGAAGAGAAAGACAAAAAGAATAAGAACCCGGAATGTGGCCCCAAAAACTGTTATAACAATAAATTAAGTTGCTGTTGCAGCATAAAACCAAATTGCCAAATGAACAGGGGGGACTGGGTCGAGAAATGTGCAATCTGTTGACGAATCATCAGAGATGAAACGAATCGAATTGAGACCAGAAACTACGGACAGAGACAGAGAACAGGACTACGGGCTTCAGGCTACAGGCTGCAAACTGGTGCCAGCCAGCGAGCCAGCCAGCCAGCCAGCCAGCTTAACGGAGGCGTCGGTGGCGGGGGTGGGCGGGTGAAAAGCGACCCTTGCGAAGTGCCGTAAAACATTCTCAAATGTTTTTTATTGAGGGCTTTGTGCCATTTCTCGGTTTGACTCCGTTCCGAAGCCAATTTAATAGCATATTTTACAGCGCTAAGCAGGCAACAACAGCAACGCAGAAGCAAGAAGTAGTTGTAGCTAAAGAGAAAAATAAGTTATAAGAATCGAGGAAAGAGGAAAGAGGAAGAGTGAGAGTGAAAATCAGAGTCAGAGTCAGAGTCAGAGTCAGAGTCACCAACAACTATACCACAAAATACGCGACAAACAAACAAAATGAAGTGACGGCAACTTGCAACACGCGAATCCAGCCAAACGGACGTTTATTGTTATTTTAAGAAAAGCAACACGACAAACCGCCTACCACAACCACAACCACAACCACGTACACCCACTCACCCACTCACCCACCAAACCATCCACCCATCCTCTTTCACAAAGCTCAAGCTATCTTACTATCTAAATAGTTGTAGCACAGCATTGATACCCTATCTTCATCATTGTATTCAAAGTGTTGCATTAAGCATAATGTGTATTATTATTCGTATAACAAATCACGATTATAAAATAAAACAAAGCTTTCTGTTTCACTCAGCTATTGAATAGTGATAAACATCAAAGTGTTTTACCAGCACTTGAGAATTGAGAATTGAAAATTCTCTCACCTTAGTAGCTGGTGGATGTTGTTCAACATGTGCGAAGCGAAAGAAATTACGAAGTTTTTCAAATAAAACACTTGTATTTCTTTTTAATATTTTTATAAATTGTATCAATGCTTTGCTGTTGGCTATGCATTTAACTTCTGACAGTCAATATGCCCGCTGAGTGGGGAGTATATTGAAAAGAAGACATAGCATAACTCTGGTAGCTGCAGGAAGCAGCAACGATTCCAACGACTCCCGTTCTTAACTTCCGCTTTGGCTTGCAGCAATTTCTTTTGGCTTTATTGCCCCAACCCCCCACCAGCACCCCCTCGCTCCCGCTCTACAGTGTGCTGTGCTACTACCCGCTGCGGCTACGACGCATATAGCATAAATTTTGAATACGCTCAAAAGAGGGTTGGGTTTTGTGTCAGCAGAAAAAAAAAAAAAGCGAAAATTGTCTGTCGCTTGATAAAGCGGAAGCAGAACTTGCCCATAAACGAAATGTGGCAACTGAGTGTAAACTTTATTGGCGCCCGACCGACTGGCGACGTCGCTGTCGCTGTCGCTGACGCGGACGTCGTTGCCGATGCTGACGGCGACGGCGACGGCGACGCCAGAGCATTGGCGACATTATTGCCAGGAGTCAGCCGAGTAGCCAAATAGCATATCCACAAATCCACAAAGCAGAGCAGAGCAGTAGCATGCTCAGCCGTTGACTCATGTGGCACCCAAACGCATTTGCCGAGGGATGCCCCCAGACTTTTGTCGGCGTCGGCATCGGCGTCGGCATCGGCGTCTCGATGGCTGCCAGCGAGCAGCGATGAGAGAAGCTGCACTTTGTTTGTTTTGTCTGCCTCATTTCTCACTCTATCTGTCTGTCTGTCTGCCTGCCTGTCTGCCTGCGTGTCTGTCTGTGTGCTTCCTCCATAAGGGAAGTCTTACATTAGTTGATTTCATGCGCTGTTTACATTGGCAGCGAATTATGCGCATTGAAATTCCAAAGATTTGGCTGCCAAATGGGTTCTACGCAAAAAAAAAAAAAAACAGAACCGTCACCCGGTCAAAAATCTAAACGGGGTCTATGGCCTCGCTGTTGCCGGGCATTCTCAGCTGCCGTAGCAGGCTCAACGGCGTCAACTGCCTCGACTGCCTCAGATGCCTCAGTTCCTGTTTCCGAGTATCAGCGATGCGCGCCTTACACATCGAAATTTTGCATGTGTCTTGTTCGCTTTCTCTACTCCAGCAGAAGTACAGCATGTGTAAAATGGGACTTTGCCAGACAAATTTCTACAGTTATCAATGCTAAGGAAGGGGCAGGACCATGAAAGTGCTTTTATCAGCTGTGTGTGTGTGTGTGTATGTATGGCATTGGCTTAAAGCCCTGGCACATTAATGCATCCTTCATTCTGTTATTGTCTCTCTTACAACTTTCTTTTTCTCATTCTTTCTCTTTTGCATTCCATTCGATTTGCCTGGCACATTTTCGCAGAGGTCCTGTCTAGCTGGGAGGAATGGTGGACATACGATGGCATATCCGGTAAGTTTTAAAAAAAATACTCTTATAAATGAATTTAAAGAGGCAAAAAGATTCAATCAAAGCACAAAGGAAAGCCGTACCTTAAGCACAATATTATTCATTTGCTAAGCATTCCTCTCGCTTACTCGTTAACAAATGTAACGTGTGCAAAATAGTCGCTACATCAAATCCAACGATTGCACAACAAATGTACACAATGATTATCATTTAATAATTCATTTATATCAGGGGATGGAAACGGAAAAAATATAAACAAACATATAATCACTAATTTATCATATTCATTAATATACACATATATATAGAAAGGAGATGTATATCGACAGAAAAGAAATGTGGACTAAATAGAGGGACGAATAAGAACGGAAATTACGTCAAAAGACTGACACAGTTGGAGCAAGAGAGGGAGAGACGAGAGAAAGAGAGAGAGAGAGAGAGAGAAAGAAATTTAGAGATGCTACAGAGCCAAGGGACTTAAAAATGTTTACCTAAATTTTAGTTGAAAGTTAGAAAATTGTATAAACATAAACGGAGTGTGTGTGTGTGTGTGTGTCTGTGTCTGCTGCAGGCGCTGCAGTAACCATTTGTGTTATTATTATTATTCCGCACAGTTGCAGGTTGCAGGTTGCAGGTTGCAGGTTGCAGGTTGCAACCGAACGCAGTTTTATTTATGCGCTTTAACAGCAACAGCAAGAACAACAACAATGGGCAGCAGACAAAACAGGAACAAAACGGGCAACAAAATGAATGAATAAGTAAATGAATGCAAACACAAAATAAACATCGGCAGCTGCAGCAACAGTAGCTGCATCAGTGGCAGCTTCACAGGCCACAAGCGTTGCACTGACACGAAGCGTTTTTTAAACTTTGGCATTTATTGCCTACTGTTTGGTGCCCGAGTGAGTGTGTCTGTGTGTGTGTCTGTGTGTGTGTGTGTGTGTGTTTATGTGTATTGTGTGTATTTGCGTGTGTGTGTATGTAGTGGCGCGTGCCATCAAAATACACACACCAATAACACACTCAGATGCATCCAGCATATTGGTTTTGTGATCGACCTTCTTCTTTAAAAGGTGACAAACATTATGATGGTAAAATATAATGATATATAGATATATATGGTAAACTTATATACATATATATATATAAAGATATTTATCTTCTGGTGTTTATTTTATAATATAATAACATTTTAGCTGGTTTCCTCGCCGGGCTTATAGAGAAATATAAGCTATCTTTTATATTGATCGAGAAAAGTCATTGCATCACAACTAGTAACATTTATCACAGCAAATCTGTTTATGTTTCAGAGATATTGTTTTAAATGAATTATTTGCCACCATCACTTTTTAATCAACAAATATAGACAAAAGCGCGATTAGAAATTAGTTCGTTCGTATTTCAATATTTTATCTATTTCAAGTGTGATTTTTTCTAAATATATTTCTGGGATTTGACACAAAATTGCAGAGCATACAGCATAACGCATACGTTCAACACAATTTGGCATTTTTCATTCTGATCGACAGCAATGCAGTAGCAGCAGCAGCAGCAGCAGAAGCAGCAGCAGTAGCAGTAAAAATATATTTAATTTTTCCATATGGCTGCTGCATGCAACACTCCCCACTCTCCCCACTCTCTCCCTCTCCCTCTGTCTCTGTCTACCCCACTGCGTTCCTTTCCCAATCAATCCCCTTAACAAGGATGAGGCGTTTGTTTTGAAAAGTTTCGACAGTTTCTGTCTGTCACATCGAATTGCGCACACTGGCAAAACAACGTTCGCAGACCAGCGACAACTATCGCTTACATGGGAGGGGTGTGGATGTCAATGGCGAAAGAGGCTCTCTCTGTTGGGGGCGTGGCTACGCCCTTTGGGATATTTTAATTGCAATTTAAACTGACAGACAGATAGCAGCAGCAAGGGGACATCGCGGAGACGAGCGGAGCTTATGAAATTGCATTTGGTTTTTGAATTGTTTACATTCCATGGACTAGGACACGTTTTCCATTTGCCAGGCAGCCAATACAATCGACAATCGACAATCGATAACCGACAACCGATTGACACTCAGCTATCAACCACTGCCCATTAAATTATTGTTTTATATCTTACACATTTAATGACCTAAATACCCTGGGTTAGACAATTGAAGAGAATCGATTTAAAAAATAATATAAAAATCATTTAGCTAAAGTTGATAGGTTTCTCACATAACTCCTAAAATAATAATAGAAAAAATAATGGCATTTTAAACGAAGGAAAGTGCCAAGCAAGTGTATAGCACATACGCTAATAAATACACACAAATGCAGGGCATCGTCGAGCCGAGCCGTCTCACCAATTATAATATTTATTGTGTATTTTTTTTTTTGGTTTTTGCTGCTGTTTGTTTGTTGCAGGTCCAAGCTTCTGGGGCCTCATTAATCCGCAATGGAATATGTGCAACAAAGGACGCCGCCAGTCGCCAATTGATGTGGTGCCCGATAAGTTGCTCTTCGATCCGTACCTGCGACCGTTGCACATTGATAAGCACAAGGTGAGTCCAGTTGTCTCCTCTCTCTCCCTCTCCCTCTCCCCCTCTCTCTCTTTCTCTCTCTGTGTGTCTACCCGTAGTTAACCGAATGTCATTGCTATCGTCTACAGGTTTCCGGCACGCTGCACAATACGGGTCAATCACTCGTCTTTCGTGTCGACAAGGACACAAAGCAGCACGTTAACATATCCGGTGGTCCTTTGGCCTATCGCTACCAGTTCGAGGAGATTTACATACACTACGGCACCGAGAACAGTCGCGGCTCCGAGCACTTCATACAGGGCTACAGTTTTCCCGGCGAGGTTGGTCAATCAGCGAACGATGGGCGGGCGGGCGTGCATAACACAATAATAACAATATTAATGTTGCCCCTATTCTCTCTCTCTCTCTCACACACAACACACGCACACACACACACACACACACAGATTCAAATTTATGGCTTCAACAAGGAGCTGTACCACAACATGTCCGAGGCGCAGTATAAATCTCAGGGCATTGTCGGACTCTCCTTAATGGTGCAAATTGGCGAGACGCCAAATCCCGAACTGCGCATCATAACAAGCACATTCAACAAGGTGCTCTACAGAGGTGAGTTTGTCAGCAAAAACTAATAATAATCATAATAATAATAATAATAGTAAAACAAAAGCAGAACGTTCTTGTTCTTATTCCATTTTAATCCATTTAAACATGTCGCATCCATCTTTAGTTTAGTTTCAATGGTATTTCGAAGAAGAATAATGCTCACTAGAGATCTATAATGAAAGATCGCTTTCGTAGGTGTTTTCTCAATTTCACTTAGGTGAATCTTTAATTCGAAATTGAAATCGAAGTTGTTGTAGATAATCCTCTTTAACCGGCTCTTCATATTCATTTCCTATAGATAGCGTCAGAGCCCTTATGCTTTCATCCTAACTCCGCTCGGTTGATTCATGTTTTCAAGTCGTGTCACGACTCTGTGTGCATCTCTAGTTGGGTATTTGTATGATTTCTGAGCGTTGTTTTCCATACAGTTGAGTTCATTTGCGTTTGATGAGTTCTCCTGTTGGTTTTGTGGGGGCAGGGAGGGGAGGCGGGCAAAATCATTTCCGTTACGCAAAATGCACCGGAAATGTTGCAACGTTTGCCTGGCTCTGTGGTTCCTGGGGCTCTGTGGCGAGCACTTTTATGATGTCATTTCACAGCAGCAACAACAATCCCTACAACTGCAACAATTGTGCTGTTGCAACAACAAGCAGCATAATTATGTGCGGCAACGTCCTAAAGTGAGCCATAAAAATTCTCCGACAGCCGTTGGCCGCGAAATTGGCGCCGCGTCGCAAAGTGACGAAAATGAAACCTCGAATTACACTAAACCGACACTTAATAATTCCCCCTTAACCCCAATCCAACGCAGCAAACCCAAACCGGCCACACTCTACCCCTTGGCCGACCCAGTTTAATAGCCTTTTTACAGGTCGTACAACTTTATGTGGCCCCGTGCAAAGAAAGAATGAAAGAAAAAAATAAATAGAAGGCAGACAGAGCCTCCACCGTCTCCATCCATTCCATCTTGGCTTGGTTCCGACTTGGTTTTGGCTTGTAAAAAGCACAAACTGCACAAAATATGCGGCCAATTTCTGTTAGCCAAACAACAAGCCAAACAACTTGAAAGTTAAACTACTTAAAAACGTTGGCTTTCCACTGTTATGCCACGAATGCCAAATACACTTACAAATGTCACCAAATGTACTTTAACAATTATTGATCGATAGGTGAGTGATCGATCAATATCGATATGTTACACCATCGTTGGATGGTGTGGTAAATTTGAGATACTCCATTTTATGGATAATATATCACAAAAACGGAAGATACAATTCAATATTGGATGAAATTATTGTTAGGTTATTGCTCGATAAGAGACTGGTCGATCAATATACATATGTATCTTAACTACCGAAATGGTTGTCCACTTTATAAGTGGTAAAGTGTAGGGACTCCATGTTGTGGTTAATGTAGCACAAGAGCGGAAGGTAAAAACTAACAATTCTGATGCATATAATTTTTGGAATGCCTTACAACATACCAACTCGCTCCTCCTCCATTCTCCTCACCACTCCTTTATACCCTATTCATTCACTTGCCTTCCCTTCCGTTTGCGCTCTCAGTTCGTCGTCTCACAAACCGCGAGGCGATGTATTTCCGGCGGAGCATAATGATTTGTATGAAATGAAGTCGAGCTCCGTCGCGTCGTTCAAGTGACCAACAAGAAGGCAGCCAACAAGTCGCCAACCAACCCAGTCACCCTATTTGAGCTCCCCCCTCCACCCACTCTACGAAGCTGGTCTGGTCTGAATTATTCATTAGACATTTTCGAACATTTGGTTTTGCATTCAGATATTTTATGCGCATAAATAGCAAGGCATACCAAATAATGCTGCCCCAAGAATTGAAGATGCACCTTGAACTTTGAATTTGGTGACCAGTGTGGAAAATTGGAGCTCGCTTTCAGACCAAAACCCAAATGGATCGATCTATATACTTGTCTATCTATATATATGTCCAATGCCTGATTGCTCTACATCTATGCCTAGCTAGAGCTAGCAACATTTCTTATGTATTGCTCTCATATATTATACCCTCATAATAGTGAGTAACAGCTCTCGAGTATTTACGTATGCATTCAATTGGAGTCGTTTCTTGCTTAATTCTTGGTGACTCACTGTCTCTCTTTCCTTTCCCATATATTAATATTTTCATTGAGATTTCATTTTCTATTTTTGTTTTGCTCTAGGCTTCACGACGCCCATTCGCCATATATCGGTGAGGTCCTTGCTGCCGAATACGGATCATTATATCACATACGAGGGATCCACCACGCATCCGGGCTGCTGGGAGAGCGCCGTCTGGATAATAGTTAATAAACCCATCTATATCACCAAACAAGAGGTAGTTCAAGTACCTATACACATGTATATTTACATATATATATATGAATATATATGTGAAATGCATTTGCTTTTTATCGCTTTATTGTTTTTTTTTTCTATTTGTAATATAAAATAATATCAATGCAATTATAAACATTTCTCATCGATTGGTCACCGGTCTAGGCGCGGTTCAATTGCGGTCTATGCAATGCTCTGTGCATAATTAAAACACAATATTTGGTTAGTTTAATCAATTTGTATGCGAATTGAATCGATAGCAGATAGCTGCGGTTGTAACTAGCAAAGAAAAAATTAAAAAAACAAAAACAAAATAATAAAAAAGAAGGAAAGCAGGAGGAGTAAATCAAGTAAAACATATAAAATGTGTCAAATAAGCCAAACAAAGCACTTCGTTTATAATTGAGTATAATCTGTAACAGAGCGCACTTTAATCGATCAATATTGTGAACATCGATTTAAGATTTCGAAGACCCAGCTAAGTTTCTCACTTATAGCTATTTGTATTATATTTCTTTCTTTCCTCAATTCAAGGGCATATTTATCTAATTTCAGAAAAACAATGTCCAATTTGCAGGGTGCCAGTATGGCAGGCATAACTTACTAACTAACCGATTCCAATATAGGAGATATATTTGACATATATCTGAATTTTAGAATGCATTTTTTGTTGTAATAAAAGCTGAGCATTTCTACATTTAATACAATTAGTTGGAAATACATTTCCAAATAACTAAAAATATATCTAACAAAAGTGAGAAACTTTTTAAATTTTAAAGAATTTATTTTTCTTATTTTTAGAAATTATTGCAAAAAAAAGCAAAAAAAAAAAAAACAAATTGATCGTTTGATGAACTTGTTCGCCATTTAATTGCAGTTATATCAACTCCGACGACTGATGCAAGGCTCCGAGAGTACACCGAAAGCTCCCCTAGGTAATAATGCGCGACCCGTGCAAAGTTTACACCATAGAACCGTAAGGACGAACATAGATTTTAAGCGTCATAAGGTGAGTGTTGAGCGAGTGCCCCAAAAATAACATTACCACCATACACATATCAATCAAATTTATATCTATGGATGCGCTTAGGCTGCCAACAGTAATAAATTTGACAAATCTGAATCGATTGCGATTAACGGGTACAAACATTATATATATATATATAGTCCCCAGACAGGCTACATCAATCACTTTACATAAACGTTTCAATATGCATTGCAATCAATTGTAATATGCCCATCTATCCATATAATACGTACAGAATCAAAACGCATGTCCTTCCATGTACAAGGATATGTACTATCGAGCGAATCGCTGGTCACCAGATACGGGACTTCTGATACGTTGACGACAACGACAACAACAACATCGAAATCAACAATGCACAAATGCAAATGCAAATTACGCTCAAATAATGAGCATATTATCTACAACAACAGTAAAAGCAACTACAACAACTACAACAACAACAACAACAACAACAACTGCAACAGAGGCTGGCAACGCATTTGGCATTTTGAATGCCGCATTCAATTTTTATATGAAAGTTTTTAAGTCGAGATCCGGATTTGTTTGGCTTGCAACATTCCTAAAATGCAAACAGCAACAAAAGCGACAACAACTACAAAATTCACATTAAGAATATATATATTGTGTCCTTATAAACTCGACAACAACAACAACCACAACAACAAGGTAAAACTGTTTGCCTCGGCTTGCCGAAGCTTTAATGCCCTTGCTGATATACATATTAAATGACGATATAGTTGAATAAGGATATGCATAAATGTATGTATGTATCATGTATCTGGTGTTCGCTGATCCGACAAATCTAATCTAATCTAATCATTGAGCTAAAAGGCCTGTAACTATTTTGGCAAGGGTATTGCATGTGGGCAGCAACGAACTGGCTTAAAATACGTTAGGAATAATAAGCAAGCAAGCAAAAAAAAAATAAATAAATAAATAGAGATAGAGATAAAAAGACAATTAATGCCATAATAGCAGAATTCCATTGAAGCTAACTGAAATGAGTACCATTCAGTTTAAATGTAAGTGCTATACACACACACACACACAGACACACACACAGACACACACAGCTAAAATGTAATATGGCTGCAAGAGGCGGTGGGCTTCTCAGCACACGCCCCCTCACCCCCTTGTCTATGTGTCATAAATTCGTTTCTGCCTTATCGCAATTATGCAATAATATAACAAATATTTTCGAGCCTAATATTAATTTAAATATTTTATACAAAGCACACACACACACACACACACACATACATATTCAAACAAACAAAAATACAACACATTTGTTTATTAACTGCTTGGCGCTTTGTGCATTTTATTTATTTATAGAAAATAATTATTGCAAAATTTATTTGTGTTCTTCATTTGAATTTTTAATGCCAATTTATTTTATAGTATACGCCGTATACGCAGATTACCGATTGAAACACCAGCTGAGCCAAATACCATTATCAATCCTCATATTCGGCTCACCGAATTGTAAATACCCTTGCAGTCTTTGCCTTAGCTTTGTTGGCCGCATTAACTCCATGAACTCACATGAAGCGCCAAATGACTCAGATTTATTTTCTATTCAAATTGAAATCAAATTGCATACAAATAATGAAAATATAATTCGTTCCTATATCAGCTACATGGATAAGGTAAACACACACACACACACACGGAAGACAGATGCAATAGGTGAAAAGAGTTAGTTTGGCAAACACACACAAAAAAGTTGTTGTCGACCGATCGTTCCTATGATAACTATATGATATAGTGAAGCGATTTCGTAAATGCTACCAAATTATATATATAATATCTGCCACCGATATGCAAGCAGAAAATGTACCAAGTATCATGAGCATAGCTTCAAATGGAGCCTAGTTTGACTGACTGCTTCCTCTTCTGGTCAAAGGGATTGAAAAACTTACTTAGTAGCCTCAGTCTCCATTAAATTATGATTGATAATACTTCTGTATTCACTTCAAGGGGTATATGAAAATACAAAAACGATACAAGAATTTCCGTAAACTGGATGGGTGGACAATAACTAAAGAAAAGAAAACGAAACCTAAATGAATACATATACATAAATATATATATATATATATATACATACATATATAATGACAAAAAGAACAGAAATTAAAGCATAACTAAAATAAAAATATTCATATAGAGCATACAAAAGGTATCTAATAAAGCTATATATGAAGAAAAAAAACATTAACATACATGAAAACTATAGAAATGCATAAATATTAGATGAAAAATGCTAAAAACTCTCTCTCCCCATTTCAAACAAAAAAAATAAAAAAAAACAACAAAAGAAAGAAAAAAATATAATAACTAAAATATGAAGCGATGCAGCAGGAAGTTGAAAAAATTGGCATACCATAGAATACTAAATATATATGCATAGATATAGCTAAAATGTGTATGTACATTATATTAAGAGCCATATTACAAGGCAAACAGACGTCTAGGGCCGGCCAGTAAGTAAAGCCATACCAACAAATGTAGCTCCATAAATACAATTATATATACATATACATATATAATATACATATATACAAACATATAGCCTATAGCAGCTTACATAGTCGAAACTGATGTCATGAGTGGTGTACTCAAGTGCTACGAAACGAGTCATTAACGTTATCATTATCGTTATCGCAATCGATGTCGTTATCGATATTGATAACTAAACTTAACTGTAGATTAGTGCGTTAAATGCATAAACAACAATTTTAGGCTTATCTTAAGTAGGTGCAAAGGAATAAAATCAAAACACAAGCATCATAATTTTTTTTTTTTTTTTTTTTGTGATATATCGACACCGATGTATGTAAGTGTAACAGTGCTGGACAGCGGACAAGTAATGAATAGCGCTTAGTTTAAATAGTAATAACATAGCTTTCCGTTTGTAATATATGTTATTTAGTTATCAGCGCCAGTTCAAAATTCGTGCAATTATCATACGTTTCCAGGAACGTTCTCCCCTTTCCCCGGTCTCCTCAAAAACAAAATAAGAATGGAAGAAAAATAATAAATACAAGAATTAGGCGTAGTAGAAGAAATTGTCTATTTGTATAAAGGAAGGAAAAAACAAAAGCGATTGGATAAAGAAAACACATACGACGACTGTAAGTTACTATTGTGTTGCCATATACGACTACCTATATAATATATATATAATATACAATATATATACATATATATATGTATATATATTAAACATATACTATACATACAAGAAAAAATGAAAACACATATACTACAACTATAGAACAACTATAAAACTAAATGAAAACAAAGAGACAATTGCAAGCAAATATGAAAGGAAAAAAAATCGAAAAAGGAGAAATAACAAAAACAATTGACAAAACTTCAGTGCAAAAAATTATAAATGCATCTCTCTATTATTTTGCAATGCATAACGATTTAACGACAACAGCAAATATTATGACTAACAAATTGAAAATGAAATGCAAATTAATACAAAAGAGCAGAAAACAAAAGTATTATGAGACAAAAGAAAATAATAATAAAAATGAGAAAAAAAAAACAAATTTAATTTAAAGCGCATTTTTTATTTAGTTTGGATAAGTCGATTATTCCACGGCAAATGAATTGCATTATACTATTTCTGGTCAACCTCCGAAAGGTAAGTAGAATCGACAAAAACTAATCCATTTTCTGTTGTCTTCTCGACAATGTCCATCTTCAACTGTAAATGAGCCAGCTAACATGACAAAAGCTAAGAGTCGATCAATATCCGGTTTTGGTAATCAGTCCAAATTCAAATGGAATTTGAAATGTTCGTTCATCTTCTAGGGGGAATGTGGAGATAAACTTGATGTTGAAGATGATAATGACTGACTCCATCCAATGAGACTACAAATATTATTCATGAAGATGTGCGATGGCACAAACAGTTACACGACTGCACCACACACACAGTGGTGCCAACTGACCTACTTAAATATGCAGTTTCAATTTCCGAAAAATTCAACAGAATGCGTGCCACACGCAGCTCAGTCAACTGTGCGTGAACACCCACTTGGGCGGGTGGAGAGTTGAGGGCGTGCGAAGGGGGCAGTGGCAGTGGCAGTGGCAGTGGCAAGGGCAGAGGCTAGCTAACAACGAATTATGTAATCGGAAATGGGTAACCGCATGTTTAATTGGACGCAATTGAAACTAAACTAGCGTAAAATCGAAATAAAAACACACACACACAAATGCCAAAAACTCAACTCATTCTACGAATGTGGTAATAGAAATTCATTTCATAGCGATCCGTTCCGTTCCATTCCATTCCGTTCCATTCCGTTTCATTTGGTCTCGTTTCGTTGCGCACGAAAAATTAATTACAAATTAATTTACCATAAATTGAAATTGCGCACAAGACGATAAAGCGAATTTTGGCGGGGTTTATGGTGCTTGTGGTGCTTGCGCTGGTGGCGGCGGTCAGTCGAGTGGTTTTCTCTCAAATTTAGCTTTGGGTGGTTCGTGTGGCCTTCAATGCCGGTTTATTAGCACCACAAATCGCAATAGCGTACAGTAAAGCCTGCACTCTCCGTCCTCCTCTTATATGCGACCCAATTCATAAAAGACAGAAACAGTTTTAGGTAGGTGCGAAGTTGCGTAGAATTGAAAATTCTCAAAGTATCAAGTTGCAATCTTAAAGTCACGATTTGTCACAGTGTTGGATTGAGTAAAGGGCATCAGCTAGTTGGGCAACAATAGCCTTCTTTTTTTTGACAAACTTATACCAAGTGCATTCCATTAAGCCAATTAGGCCTGTAAATAAATTGTAATTTTTACATATTTTGTATTGTTTTAACTGATGGGAGAATGTGGGAATGGAATCCGGGATTTAATGCCTTCAAAGTTTCAATTTAGAATTTGCAACCGCATTTCACAAAACGCGGTCAAAAGTACTAATTATACTAAACAGTGTAAAACCGCAAAAACCACTTAGCCAGCACGGATGGAGAAAGCAAAAGCCACAGCACTCTATGCCACCTGCACTCCCTTTTCGGCGGTGCATACCCCTTCACCTCCCTTCCATTGCATGGACATCTTTTTCTGATGCGATAAATCAAAAATTGTACGCGCAAAATTTCAATTCAACACACAAACACATAAATTTGTTGTAGCTATAATACAAAATGATTTAATTTAATGTCCAGAGTATGCCAACAACCAAAACATCACCATCTGACCGCCTCCCCCCAAACCCACACACACACACACACACACCGCCCTTTTCAGCGAAAGTTAAGCGGTCGCACAAAAAGTGTTGCCTACCTTGCAGCGCATTCTGGTAAAGGCAGACACACACCCTCACACACCCCCACACACACATACACACACACACTTGCATTTGGTATATGTAAATAACAGCAAAAGTTTTAATTAAATTTTAAATACAAGTTAATTTTGTGTATTTTCA